ATCACAGTTGTTTTGCCCTAGAATGGCGAGGTAGCGTCTGGGCCTGACTGGTTGACCATGACAAGATTCTTTCTTCAAGGACAAGAAATACATTTTACATCAGGCAATGCATAATTTATAGGTTGACCTGGGACCCCTTTCCAAAAGGATCTGTGAGTACTAACCAGCCTGGTATGTGGAAAGATCATGGTCCTTGGAGTCAGACTGTTTCAGGCACTGGGAAGCCTTGCGGAATTTTTTTTGACTTTGAGCTTCACTTTGCTCAATATAAACAATGCAGGCCCACCCCTCAGAGTTGTGAAGATTTAATGAGCTAATCGTGGACGCATTGAACCATGATGCCACATCAGATAGGGACAGTTCACTCAGCACTGAAGCCCACATTTTTCTTTTTTTTTCTTTTTTTTTGAAGCCCACATTTTTCTTTGTTTTTAAAGCTTCACAAGCAAAGCAAATGCACTTGGTTACATAATTGGCTTAAAGGTGACTGAGGCTGTAAATTATGATGGGAGAAGAGAATGATGCCAAGGTAGTGTCAAGTCTGAAAAGCAGTAGTTGGCATTCTGTGAATAAAAGGGGACACGTTTACCATCAAAGTCCAGGAGATGGGTTTGGAGATGGAGTCTCCCTTCCCTGGCCCTCTCACTGCTTTGTGTTCACATACTTCCTTTTTCTTTTTCTCTGAGGTTCTAAAACAGAAACAAAACATAGGCGCTGCAAGGAGCTTTTGAATTCTTTCTAAAGAGGAAACTGACTTTACCTAACCAATGCACTTCCTGTGTGTGCCGTATCCGTGTGTGCCGCATCCGTTAAAGAGTGAGGCAGGCCCTGGCTGGTATAGTGTTCAGCTGCAGAATTTCCTCTTGGTGGTAGGGGTGAAAACTATATTACAGTGTTCCAACATGTGTAAGGTCTGTCTGAGTCTCCTGGAGATCTTGTTAAAAATGCAGGTTCTGCCAAAACCGGTTTGGCTCAGTGAATAGAGCATCGGCCTGTGGACTACCAGGGGTCTTGGGTTTGGTTCTAGTCAAGGGCATGTATGTGCCTTGGTTGCGGGCACATCCCCAGTAGGGGGTGTGCAGGAGGCAGCTGATGGATGTTTCTCTCTCATTGATGTTTCTGGCTCTCTATCACTCTCCCTTCCTCTCTGTAAAAAATCAATAAAATATATATTAAAAAAATAAAATAAAAATTCAGGTTCTGCCAAAACCGGTTTGGCTCAGTGGATAGAGCATTGGCCTGAAGACTGAAAGGTCCCGGGTTCGATTCCGGTCAAGGGCATGTACCTTGATTTCGGGCACATCCCCAGTAGGGAGTGTGCAGGAGGCAGCTGATCGATGACTCTCTCTCATCGATGTTTCTAACTCTTTATCCCTCTCCCTTCCTCTCTGTTAAAAAAAATCAATAAAATATATATTTTTAAAAATGCAGGTTCTGATTCAGTAGCTCTGGGTGAGATCTGAACATTTTTGCATTTCTGATAATATTCCAGGTGATGTGTCTCCCTTGGTTCTTTTAGTACAGTCTTAAAAGCATACTTGATTAACTTTATTTTTATTCAGTAATATTTATTTGCTTAGTACTAGTATGTTAGAGGCTTATTCCCAAGGATCCCACAGTTGAGTGATGAACCAAATCAAGTACCTTTTTAGTTTGGCTCTTTAAAAAAAAAAAAAAAAAAAAAAAAAATATGTATATATATATATATATATATATATATATATATATATATATAGTTGATTTTTTTCAGAGAGGAAGGGAGAGGGATAGAGAGCTAGAAACATTGATCAGCTGCCTGCAACCGAGGTACATGCCCTTGACCAGAATCGAACCTAGGACCCCTCTGTTTGTAGGCCGACGCTCTTATTCACTGAGCCAAGCAGGTTAGGGCAAGTTTGGTTCTTAAAAAAGAAAAAAAATCAACAAAACAACTTTGACTTTAGTTTATCTTATAGAAGTTCTTTAGTAATTTTACAGAGATTAGTGAACAATTAAATTTAAATTAGGATTTCTCCTTTACTTTATGATTTAAGGAATTCTATTACTGCACTCATACCAGCCACTGTAACTCCCAGTAAGGTGAAAAAGAGAAAAAGTTGTTTCCATGATCTGTCCACTCTAGCCAATCAAACTGTTCTTTTTTAAAATTTATTTATTTATTTATTTTTATTTTTTTATTTCTTTGTTGTCCTTGGGCAGGGGCATCTTTTGTTTTTATGTGGTTGTGAACATTTCTGTAAAACAATTTTCTATGTCTGCTTTTTAAATTTAGTATTAGAGAATAAATAGAAATTGTTCTAAATTTCTCTTTTAGCTATTGAAATAAAGTACTTTAGCTTGGTCAGCGTGGCTCAGTGGTTGAGTATTGACCTATGAACCAGGAGGTCATGGTTGGATTCCAGATCTGGGTACACGCTCCGGTTGTGGGCTCCATCCCCAGTAGCAGGCATCCAATCAATGATTCTCATCATTGATGTTTCTTCTCTGTCTTCCTTCCTCTCTGAAATAAAATAAATGAATAAATAAATAAATATAGTTTTTTCTCCATATTTTGATATATTCTTTCCAGGTGGATTTTCTTGGACTTCAAACATTCTTGCTAAGATAAAGTTAGCAGAAGGGTTAGGGCAGTAAACATAATATGTCATATGAAACTATTATAGTATGATAAGTTAGCGAGTAAAGTATGTGTTTGCTTTAATTCAACTATGAGTTTTGGTTTATAGTTAGAATATCCTTTTTGGTTGTTAATCCTCACCAGCGATATTTTTTTCATTGCTTTTAAGACAGAGTGGAAAGGAGGAAGGAAGGGAGGGCAGGAGAGAGGAAGAAAGAAACATTGACTGATTGCTTCCTGCACATGCCCTGAAGAGGGGACAGGGAGCGAACCTGCAACTCTGGTACATCCCCTTGACTGGGAATGGATCCTTCAACCCTTTGGTGCTTGGGTTGATGCTCTAACCCAACTGAGCCACCCAGCCAGGGCCATGTTATATGTATTCTTTAAAAAAAAAAAAAAAATGTGTGAAATATATTTAAACATTTCCATAATAAGGAAAGAGTTTGAAATTTAAAGTATTTCTGAAGTACAAAAAAAGTAAAGATTTTCTTTTAAAAAAATATATATTTTATTGATTTTTACAGAGAGGAAGAGAGAGGGATAGATAGTTAGAAACATCGATGAGAAAGAAACATCGATCAGCTGTCTCCTGCACACCTCCCACTGGGGATGTGCCCGCAACCAAGGTACATGCCCTTAACTGGAATCGAATCTTTTAGTCCGCAGGCCAACGCTCTATCCACTGAGCCAAACCGGTTTCAGCAAGATTTTCTTGTTTTACCTCTTAGAGCAGCGGTCGCCAACCTTTCGGACCTCATGAACCACCAGTAGTCCCCAGACCACAGGTTGGTGACCGCTGTCTTAGAGCAGCGGTCCTTAGTCTGGCTCTGTGGACGTAGAGCAGTGTTTCTCAAAGTATGGGCTGCAGAATCACAGGTGTGCTTGTGGAAAGCAAGAACTCCATACGCTCCTCTTGCCCCCCTTCTCCAAGCTTCTAGTTGAGTAGGTCTGGGATGGAGCCTGCAATCTGAATTATAACAGGCAGCCTGTTTGATTCTTCTGCAAACCAACTTTCAGACTTACTGCTCCCAGCAAGCCATGGTATCCGGGGAGCCAAGGCCAGGGCCACCAGGTTGTAGCAGGCCCTGGCATAGAGCAGGACCATGGCATCGCCCATTGCAGCTTCTGACACACACTGGTCCCCTTGGCCTCCAGGTAGATGCTGGTGGAGGGTGCCTGCCGGGCAACAAGGCAGAGGCAGGCGGCAAGAGAGAGTGCGCAGATAGCAAACAGGGAGTCGCTCACCAGGACACGCACCAGCAGGAGGGCCCAGGGCCGTGTCCGGATGGCGGGACAGCACAGCATACAGCACATTCACCAGCAGAAAGAGCAGCGAGGCCCCCCACGAAGGCCCCTCCGACAGCCAGCAAGCCTCAGCTCATCTCTGGCCGACGTTTCGTCTTGACTTTGAACATCACCTGGGCAAAGTAGAGGTTCAGAAGCATCAGTGTGAAGAACTGCAGGCAGATAGGGCAGCAGTAGAGAAGCCATAAGGGCAGGGGCCCCAGGCGATTGGCTCTGGGGAGGGGGGTGTATCAGAAATAGAATAGTATGCAAGGCAGCCCAGAGCAGACAGAGTGCCAGGAACACCGTCTGGTAGCTGAGACGCTTGTGCCCGTGCAGGAGCATCAGTCAGAGCTGGACATACACGGAGAAGAGCAGAACATACAGGGTGGTGTAGGCCGCAGTCAGCCCAGGGTCACAGCCGGTGACAGTGCAGGCACCAGACCAGAGCAGGCACCAAGGCCAGACAGGGCGCTCTCCATGTCAGGAAGGGAGGCCTGAATCCTGAGGCAGAGATGGAGGGGCTGGTCTGCCACCTATCAGGCGCAAAGTCTCCCCGAGCCGCACGGCCACCCTTACAGGGGCCCTTATCCCTCCCACTGCGCCGAGACAGTGTTCCTGCGAGGGGAGGCACTCCGCTTATCTCGAAGCTCCCCTGATGGTGCGGGGAGGGTGCCCTGATGCATCTAAAATTATTTTTTACTGAAATGTACTATTGCCACAAATTACTTTGTGCAGATAATATTTTCTAACATTTATTGAGAACAATGTGCCAGTTGTTTTACTCAGTACATCATACATTTTCATTTAATCCTAGCAGCATTCCCACGAGGTAAGCACAAGGAAATTGAGGTGTGGAGTGCTTAATTGCCTTGTCCACACTGACACAGTTTGTGAATGGTGGAGCCAGGGTTTGATGCCATTCTGTCTCACCGGAAGGCCAGTTCTGTGCAAGTCTGCAAGTTTGTGCAAATGAATCACATTTGGCTTTTCAGTGAATAGATGATGATGTTTGTGTAGCTCCTTGAAGTTATCAAAGTTGTTGCTTGCGGATTAGCCTTTTTTAGTGATTCTGAATTTTGTTATTTCTTTTCAGATCAAAGAGAGTGCATCACAGACCAGAGATGTCCTCAAACAACATTTTAATGATTTAAAGGGAACACTTGGGAAGCTCCTGGATGAGCGACTGGTGACCCTTTTGCAAGAAGTGGATACTATTGAGCAAGAGACCATTAAGCCACTAGATGATTGCCAGAAGCTCATCGAGCACGGAGTTAACACTGCAGAGGACTTGGTCCAAGAAGGTGGGAGTCTCCCATTAAATGTGGCGAATTCAGACCAACAGTGCTCCTTTCTCAGGATACCGGCAGGCTCATTGCCATCTGGGGTGCTTACGATGTTCCTGCCATGGGACAGTTTATAATATAGGATGACAGATATACAGTGAGGTATCCCAGCCTAAATGCAATTAAAGTGTTACTTATGATCATTTACAAAACAAGGAGTAAATGATTTTTTTCACATGGGTCCATGATATTACATTCATTGTTAACAGAGCAATTTTAAGGTCATTTTGAGTCTTCATATCTTTTTTAGAGTGTTTGTGGATTATAGACTTTAATTCCCTTGTTCTTTGTATGTTTCTTATTGATTGTTAAAGAGGAAAGGAGATGGATAGAGAGATAGAAACATCCATGAGAGAGGAAAATCATCAATTGGCTGCCTCCTGCACGCCCCTTACTGGGAATGGAGCCTGCAACTGAGGCATGTGCCCTGATCAGCAATCAACCAGTGACCTCTTGGTTCCTGAGCCGGCACTCAACCGCTGAGACGCACTTGTCTGGGCAATTTCATTGTTCTTTTTAATAGGTTAACAAACATTAGTGTTTACTTCTGAAATTGTAGTTGTTATATTTTTCTCTTTAGCCAATTATTTTGGTTGAAACATGCCCAGATCTAGCCTTGCTGCCTCCCTTCCTCCCCTCTCCCTCCCCATAAGCCTTTGTCAGGTACATTAAATTAAAATTCTGTCCTTTGGGGTTCACATGTGAGTGAGGCATACATGCTGAGAGAGATCTGAGGCCTTACGGGAGCACAGAAGGGAGATACTTAACAGGAAGAGTGTAGGATAGCTTTTTGTAAGAGGAGTTTTGCAGAGGAGCTAACAGTCCGAGTGGAAACAGAAGTAACATCACGAGTGAAGGGAGGGGCATATCAGGGATCTTTTTGAAATAATTTAGGCAGCAGAGTTACACAGTCAAAGTTGCATTTTAAAAAAATAGCACAGTCTACAGTTTGGAAACTGGGTTCAAGGTTGTAAGACTAGAAGTGAAGAAAATAATTAGAAAGTTGCAGCAGTAATCCCGATAGGAAGGAATGAGAGCAGAGACAGGAGAGCATAAGGTAGAACTGGTTTTAAGTTTTTTCAGAGATAGAATTATTGATGATTTTACTGATCAATAAGAGTTGGTTACCAGTGATTGTCTGGATACAGGTTGGAGGAAAAAGCAAAGGATTTAAGATGACCAAAACCAGCCTGATATTGGGTGTCAGTAAATTGTGCTTTTTACTGACATAGGAAATGAAGGAGGCAAGTTGGGCTCTGGTGGGTACTTAGGCATTTGGTTTGGGCATGTTGAATTTGAAGTGCTTAAGATGAAAGAGGGAGTTGGGAGTAAGGCTTAGGGGAGAGATAATATCTGGAAATGTTAATATGGCAATTAATGGCATATACATCAGATCTGAATCAATGGGAATAAGAAATATCATCAAGAGATAGCCTACAATATGAGATGAGAAGGCAGCAGATGGTAAAACTCAAAGGGACAGCGACATTTAAATAACTGGGGGGAAAGAGGCAGGAAAAGCGGTAGAACACCATCCATTCTGCAGACTGAGTGCAGTCAGTGGCAGAGAATAAAAAGTGTGTTGCTCACAAGTCTGTGACGCCAACTAGAAATCAGTCCCGTTTGGTCTTAGTTGGAATATGGTACTAACATTATCTTCACATGCTAAGTGTTATTTTAGTCTTATCTTCAGTGAGAAGTGTTTATTTGCTGTTCATCATAACAGTGCCTTTGAGACAAAAATTTTTAGCAAGACCACAGAATGTCTTTCCCTGGAGGCTGTGAATTTGGAAACAAACCCAGAAGCAGTTCATCACAGGTCAGGAGCGTACACCCATCACCCCAAGGACTGAGATGTTTTTAGTTTAGAAAATAAATCCTTTGAGGCACATACATGCTTGTCACAGCATCTGATGCTGCAATTTTTTTGTACTTCAGAAATACTTTAAATTTCAAACGCTTTTTTTCTTTCCCAAGGGATAAAGACTTATTTATGGAATTGGGAGGATTTTGACAGTGTTCAGTGTGTCTCTGTTTTCCTTTTGGTGAAGGAAACTTGAGTCATTCCAAGGTGCATTCAGATGGAAAAGAGTTCTGGTGGGCTGTGGAAGGACATAGAAGTAGTTGTGTTTTTACTGCCTTTATGTAGCATTTTCTTTTATTCTGTTGAGTAATTTCTAATCTAATAGATGATAATTTTTTAGGAAAACATTATGATTTATTTGTTGATTTTTTTTTAATCTTTACTGTTGAGAGTATTACACATGTTTCTTCCCTCCCCCCCCCATTTGTTTTATAAGATCCCGTGTGCCCTACTCCTTCTGGCTCCTGTTGGTGTTGATAAAAGTTTCTGAAGAAGAGATAGAAAAAGCCTCTGGGTCTTCTGCTTTGCATAAAGTTGATTGACAGCCATATTTCCTTGTATAGAACAGAACAGACATTTCTGGCGGGATGTTGCCATTGTGAACCCCTTTTCCTCCCTTTAAAAAAAAATATATATATATTTATTGATTTTTTACAGAGAGGAAGGGAGAGGGAGAGTTAGAAACATCGATGAGAGAAAGACATCGATCAGCTGCCTTCTGGGCTCCCCCCTCCCCAACTAGGGATGCGCCCACAACCAAGGCACCTGCCCTTAACCGAAATCAAACCTGGGACCCTTGAGTCTGCAGGCCATTGCTCTATCCACTGAGCCAAACCGGTTAGTTAGTCTCACTTCTAAAATAGTGTCTGCTTTTACTTTTTGGGAATTAAGAAAAAAGCTACTTTAAATTTTATTTTTCAGTTAGAGTTTACATTCAGTATTATTTTGTGTTAGTTTCAGGTATACAGCATAGTGGTTAGATAATCATATATACTTTACAAAGTTTTCCCCCCAATATTTCCAGTACCCACCTAGCACCATATAGGTATTACAATATTGTTGACTATACTAGAGGCCCAGTGCACAAAATTCATGCATGAGTAGGGTCCCTAGCAGCTGCTGGCTGCTGGCCAGGGCCTCCCTTCATTCCATGCCACCCCCTGGTGGTCAATGCACATCATACCGAGTGACCAAACTCCAGGTTGAACTCCCAGTGTCCCAGTCGAACTCCCGAGGGGACACTTTGCATATTAGGCTTTTATATCCCCATGACTATTTTCTTTCTGTACTTCTTTTTTAAATTTAAATTTAATTTTTTACTAAATTTATTGGGGTGATATTGGTTAACACCATCATATAAGTTTCAGGCGTTAGTTTCTGTGTTTGAAGATCTGTATATTACACCATGTGCCTACCACCCAAACAACCCATACTTCTTAACTCCTTCACCTATTTTGGGAATTTTTTTTAGAAAGATTTTTGTTGAGTGCAGAGAGGAAAGGAGAGAGAGAGATAGAAACATCAATGATGAGAGAGGATCATTGATTGGCTGCCTCCTCCATGCCCCACACTGCAACCCGGATTGAACCTGCAACCTGGGCATGCGCCCTGAACGGGAACCGAAACATGACCTCCTGGTTCATAGGTCGATGCTCTCAACCACTGAGCCATGCCAGGCCTCTTTTGGAAATTTGAAGAATTGTTTGCAAGAAAACCAGAGACCTATCTGGATATGGGTTGTGTTGATTACTTTAGAATGTAACTGTTTTTCACTGTACTAGATTTATTTTTTCTGATTCTAGGAGAAATTGCCATTCTTGGTGGTGTAGGAGAACAGAATGAAAAACTGTGGAGCTTTACCAAAAAGGCCTCCCACATTCAGTTGGACAGGTAAGAGTTAATGCCTTTGGGGCTTACTTTTAAGCATCTAAACCAAGCATGCCAAACTCAAAGGCTAACATGGGCCAAACAAACAAGGTTTAAGTTTATGTGGTCCGCAAAAAAACACAAAAGCTTCAGTTTTCATAGAAACCTACTGACCACCCAGTAGGTTTATTTTAGTAAAAACATGCTGAATACAAAGGGCTGAAATAAATGAGTAATTGTTAACATAAAATAATAGAACACTTTAATAAAAATTAATCTTTTTTATTGAATATTAACTTACCAGACAACTGATTAATTGCACAAATTAATAAGTGTAATGCAAATAAACCTATTTTTCTAGTTCTCTGAAAGTGAAATATTTCCTGTTACACAGACCAAACAAGTCAGTCCAAGACTAATGATGTGGCCATCGGCTGCTAAAATATTCACTGCTGGTATTAGTGGAGAGAAATGGTGCACCTGCGCATAAGGCACATGAGGGAAATGAATGCAACACGATTATAGTAATCAGTCATTAGTGAATATTGTAGCTCATTATTAATAATTATAACAGGATATTGTAAAAATTAAGTTACAATTTTTTAATTAAAATGTTTCTTACATACTGTTATATTGTCTAGGCCGCAAATATAAATGGCCCGTGGGCCATGGATTTGGCATGCTTGATCTAAACTATCTGCCTTTTTACTCATCCCCTGTTAAAGATTCTGACTAAGGGAGAAAGAATATATTTTTTAAGGTTTCTCTGCTCATTACCAATATTACTAATATAAAATAGTTGTGATTGAGAGATGCAAATCAAAACAACAATGCGGTACCATCTCACACCTATCAGAATAGCCAACATCAACAAATCAACAAACGACAAGTGTTGGCGAGGTTGTTGCGGAGAAAAAGGAACCCTCGTGCACTGCTGGTGGGAATGCAGACTGGTGCAGCCACTGTAGAGAACAGTATGGAGTTTCCTCAAAAAACTGAAAATGGAACTCCCATTTGATCCAGTAATCCCACTCCTAGGAATATATCCCAAGAAACTAGAAACACCAATCAGAAAGGATATATACACCCCTATGTTCATAGCAGCACAATCTACAATAGCTAGAATTTGGAAACAGCCTAGGTGCCCATCAGCTGATGATTGGATCAAAAAACTATGGTATATCTACACAATGGAATACTATGCTGCCATAAAAAAGAAGGAATTCTCATCATTTGCAGCAACCTGGATAGAATTAGAGAACATCATGCTGAGTGAAATAAGCCAGTTAATGAAAGAGAAATACCACATGACCTCACTCATTTATGGATATTAAAGAACATTATAAACTGATGAACCAAAAGACAGTAAAGCAACAAGCAGACTGTCAAATTACAGCGGGGAGGGTAGGGAGATCTGGGGGAGAGAAGAGATCAACCAAAGGACTTGTATACATGCATATAAGTACAACGAATGGACACAAAACTCTGGGGAGGGAGAGTATGTATGAGAGGGGGGCAATGTTAAAATATGTACACAGATAATAATTTAATAAAAATAAATAAATAAAAACAAACAAACACCAAAAAAATAAAAATAAAATAGTTGTGATTGCAATTTTTAGTATAGTATCATTATAGATTTTCTTCGATTCTTTTTTTTAATTAAATTTATTGGAGTGACATTGGTCAACATGAACATACAGGTTTCAGGTGTGGGTTTCTATGTTGCAAGAGCTATATATTGAACCATTCTCAGTTATGTGAGAACCATGTACTCACTACCCAAAGTAAAATCTCCTGTCAACATATATTAGGATCCTCTTCTCCTCTTACTCTCTTCCCAGATTTTTTTCAATTCTAATGTGTAATAGAATTGTTAAATTTTTAATGATTTGAACAGAACATTGAAACTGGGTCATATCTCAATAAAACAGATCTTTTGGTATAAACTTGACAACTGTGATTCTACCAACTTTTTTTTTTTAATCTTTTTGCTTATATTTATTTGGGAATAGAATCTTTATGTAATATCTTGTAAAGTCCCCACTGCCATGAGCATTATTTACTGGGAGCTTCTGCATCCTTATAGTATGTGACTGATGTAAAATATTCCTTGTTGTTGTTTTTTTGAATCCTCACCCAAGGATATGTTTATTGATTTTAGTGAGAGGGAGAGAGAAACATCGATCAGTTGCCCCCTGGTACCACCTAGGGATTGAACCCAAAACCTGAGTATGTGCCCTAACTGGGAATTGGACCTGCCACCTTTTGATGTATTGGACAATGACAATACTCCAATCAACTGAGCCACACCAGCCAAGGCTGTATTATTATTATTTTTAATAAGAGAAAGTTTATTTGGAAAGTCAGAGGTAGAAGAGAACTATGGAATCATTGGGCTTTGGAAACAAGTTATAGAGGCAAAAGAAGGGCCTTGGAGCTTAGGAGAGAGACAAGGAAAAGATGCCTGGGGGAAGGGAGTGGGGAAGGTGTGTTGTGCTCCAGAGTGAGAGCCAACCCTTGGAATTTTTTTTTGGTGGGGGGAGGGGGATGTGGGGGGGCAAGGGAGGGTGTTAATTCTCCTCCAAGGATTTTTTCCCATTAATTTTAGAAAGTGGAAAGGAGGGAGGTAGTGGGAGAGAGAAAGAGAAAAACATCAATGAGAGAGACACATCGATTAGTTGCCTTCTGCATACACTCCAACTGGGCTGGGGATCAAACCCAAGACTCTGTGGTGTTCTGACTAGTGCTCTAACCATTTAGCAACACTGGCCAGGGCTGCTTTTGTATTTTTAACTCTTAGTTAAAAGCCTCATAAACACATGAACTTTGTTTCCTCAGCTTACCAGAAGTGCCTTTACTGGTTGATGTGCCTTGTTTATCTGCTCAGTTGGATGACTCAATTCTTAACATAGTGAAAGACCACATTTTTAAGCATGGAACTGTAGCATCTCGCCCACCAGTCCAGATAGAGGAACTAATAGAGAAGCCTGGAGGCATCATTGTGCGATGGTGTAAGGTAAGTAATTCAGAATTATGGAAGTGGCTTCAACATTATGAGTTTGAGATTTGGGGGCCTTAAATTTTTTTTTCTTAAATATGTTTTAAAATATATATATAGTATACAGAGAGGAAGAGTAATAGAGAGTTAGAAACATCGATGAGAGAGAAACATTGATCAGCTGCCTCCTGCAGCCACCCAATTTGGGATGTGCCCACAATCAAGGAACATGCCCTTAACCAGAATCAAACCTGGGACTCTTGAGTCTGCAGGCCGATGCTCTATCCACTGAGCCAAACCAGTTAGGGCTCTTAAATACGTTTTTATGGATTTCAGAGAGTAAGGGTGAAGAAGAAAGGGATAGAAACATCAATGATGAGAGAGAACCATACACCTCCCACTAGGAATTAAGCCCTATGCCCAGGCATCTGCCCTTGACCGGAAATTGAACCATGACTTCTTAGTTCATGGGTCAGTGCTCACCACTGAGCAACACAGGCTGGGGAAATTACTTTTTAAAATACCACCTTTGAATATTTTCTTCTCTTCATAAACAAAAATACAATTAAAGTCACAGGGATCTTGAACTGAGGTAGCTCTTCCAGTTTGAGATAAATAGTTTTAAAAGTTCTTTTTAAAATCCCTGAATCACTATATTTGTTTCTCAGTTGTAACTCTTACTGAGTTAAGGATTGCTCCCATTTCTGTTTATTAGGAAATTCAAATAATGGTAGTGAATATTGGGTGTCTGATAGCTTTCTGGTCAACACTCAACTAATATCTCTGAAATAAAATGTCTAAAGAATGATTTCTACACACTCTCAGCATTGCTGAGATTGTGTGTGTTAGTTTGGTTATATAGATGAGCTACCATATTTTATTTTATTAATCCTCATCCAAGGATATTTTCCATTAATTTTTAGAGAGAGTAGAAGAGAGGGGGAGAGACACAGAGAGAAACATCACTGTGAGGGAGATGCATCAATTGGTCGCCTCCCACACAAGCCTTAACCAGGCCCGGGGATTGAGCCCACAACCAGAGCATGTGACTGGGAATGGAACTGTGACCTCCTGGTTCATGAGTCGATGCTCATCTACTGAGCCACGCCGGCTGGGCTAGTTGTGGGATTCTTATCCTTGAATTTTTAATGTTTTATCTTTGGCATTATTGTGTAGAAATCATGCCACTTCATCGAAAGCAGATTTTTTTCATATCAGATTGGGAGGTCTAAAACACATGGTTCAATAAAGAAAAGAAGGGACTCAGTGATGGAATATTTTTTATGATCTTCCTGAGAAGAGCCTGTATTTAGTATATTCAGCACATGGGCTTGTATGCTTGGCCCAAAATGCCACATTCAAAGTTCTTTTTATTTTTTTTTTTATTTCAGAGAGAAAGCGGGGTGGGGGAGAGAGAAATATCACTGATGAGAGAATCAATGATCAGCTGCCTCCTGCACACCCCCTACTAGGGATTGAGCCCAAAACCCTGGCATGGGCCCTTGACCAGAATTGAATCTGGACCTTTCAGTCCACAGGCCGATACTCTATCCACTGACCTAATCCGTCAAGGGCCACATTCAAAGTTCTTAAACAGTGATGCCGAGAGGAATTACTCCCTGATGTTGACCTAACTCAAAGTCTTTCTTCTTAGGTGGATGATGACTTTACAGCCCAAGATTACAGACTCCAGTTCCGTAAATGTACTTCAAATCATTTTGAGGATGTATATGTGGGCTCTGAAACGGAATTCATAGTATTACATATAGACCCCAATGTTGATTATCAGTTCCGAGTCTGCGCCCGAGGAGATGGCCGACAGGAGTGGAGTCCTTGGAGCGTCCCCCAGATAGGTCATTCCACATTGGTGCCGCATGGTATGCCCTTGCCTTCTCACTCCTGAGCTTAACTGTGTGTAGGAACACTTGTTTTTGTTTGTTTGTTTGTTTGTTTGTTTTTAATATATTTTATTAATTTTTGTACAGAGAGGAAGGGAGAGAGATAGAGAGTTAGAAACATCAATGAGAGAGAGTCATTGATCAGCTGCCTCCTGCACACCCCTACGGGGGATATGCCCGCAACCAATGTACATGCCCTTGACCGGAATCAAACCCGGGACCCTTCAGTCCCCAAGCCGACGCTCTATCCATTGAGCCAAACCGGTTTCGGCATGAACACTTGTTTTTTGTGCTCAAGGTCGCACACTGACCACCCTTGTTTCTAAGGCTAACCTTTGGATTGATGAGATCAACACAGGTTGTTCACTTCCTGCTTAAATTACTTCATGTGACTTTTACAAAAAATTCAACAGTACTTATCTCCAGAGTCTAAAATAGTGCCACCCCCAATTGGTAGCATTCCCTAAAATCACAAATTTTAAATATTGCATCAGGAAACCAGAGTTTTTTGTTGTTTTTAAAAAATATATTCTTATTGATTTTAGAGAGGAAGGGAAGGGGGGAGAGAGAGAAGCATCAATGATGAGAGAGAATCATTGATCGGCTGCCTCCTGCTTGTCCCCTACTGGGGATCGAGCCCGCAACCAAGGCATGTGCATTTGACAAGAATCGAACCTAGGACCTTTCAGTCTGTAGGCCAATGCTCTTTCTACTGTGCCAAACTGGCTAGGGCAGTGGTCAGCAAACTGCGGCTCATGAGCCACATGCAGCTCGCAAGGCGCAGTTTGCTGCTCTGTTGACTAATGAGTTTGCCAACCACTGAGATAGGGGCTTAATCATAGGGAACAACAGCCTATAATTATTGGAATCGAGAGTCTAAGTCAGTGGTTGGCAAACTCATTAGTCAACAGAGCAGCAAACCACGGCTCACGAGCCTCATGTGGCTGACGAGCTGAAGTTTGCTGACCACTGGGCTAGGGCATGGACACTGCAGTGTTTGATCCAAGTGTTCAGTGTACATCTGAGTAGAGGCTTTTTCTCTAAAGCTGTATAGTTGACATTGATCTCTTCTACACTGAGTGGCCAGGTTATTATGATCTCTGAATGCATAATCATCTGGCCACTTAGTGTATATCCTATATAATGAAAGGCTAATATGCAAATTGTCCCTTTGACCAGGAGTTCGACCAGCAGGCAGGCCAGCCAACTGCCCATATCCCCTCCCCCTGGCCAGGCTGGCCGGACCCCACCCATACATGAATTCATGCACTAATGTATTAATGTATATAATGTATTAATGTGTATACACACACACACACACACACACACACACACACACACACACACTAAGTGGCCAGATTATTATGCATTCAGAGATCATAATATTATAATCTGGCCACTCAGTGTATATTACTAGTTTAACGGATTCCGATTCATTTGTTGTTTTTCATCAGGTTAGAGTAAGCTCAAATGTGATTTTATCAGATAGGCGATAACACTTTTATCTTCCATGCCAGAATTGTTTAAGAATAGACTAAAAGTGTTTTTATGGTTTGTAGGATTAACCATAATACCCTGTCATGGAAAAATCTTTTATTAAATTTGCTCACGATCCTCTAAGAGTAGTCTCTTCTACTTCCAAGTCTTTTTTAATGTGTCTGTACTGAAGCTAGTCCTAAAAAGATCCTAATAGTTTTCAATGTCTTTGCTTTTTAAAAAGAATGGACAGCTGGCTTTGAGGGGTACAGTCTGAGCAGTCGAAGAAACATAGCACTCCGGAATGATTCAGAATCCTCAGGTGTTCTCTACTCCAGCGCTCCAACCTATTTCTGTGGGCAGACATTAACGTTCAGGCAAGTAGATGTTATGATATCTGTCTGTTGTGGCTTAGGCAGGATAATGAAGAACATATATAAGCTTCAGATCAAAATTGTCCTGAGATTATCCTATCATTTATAGGCAGTGGTACTTTGTGGAGATTTCTTTATTTCTCTTTGCTTCAGTTTCCTCATGTATTCATAGGGTTATTATAAAGATTAACTGAACACAAAATGCATTGTTTATGTTTGATACATAGTATGTACATATTATGTTTAGGTCTCTTTTCTTCTTGGTAAATAGAGGCAAGTAGAATACCTCTCACAAGTCAGCCTTAAAAAATGTACAGGAAAAAGAAGGAACTTTTACCATTTGCAGCAGCATGGATGGACCTGGAGAGCATTATGTTAAGTGAAATAAGCCAGGCAATGAAAGAAAAATACTACATGATCTTACTCATTTATGGAAAATAAAGAACATTATAACCTGATAAACAATAAGATAGATGTAGAGGCAGTAAAGCACCAAACAGACTGTCGAATTACAGTGGGAAGGATGGGGAGAGTTGGGGAGTGGGGGAAGAGATCAACCAAAAGACTTGTATGCATGCATAATAAGCACACCAATGGACACAAGACACTGGGGGTAGGGTGGGATGAGGGCATGTGACAGAGTAGGGGAGGCTGAGGGAAGGTCAATGGGGAAAAAGAGATATATGTACTACTATATGTAATACTTTAAACAACAAAAAAAATTTATAGGCACAGAATTTTCTTTTGTAGTTTTGAATCAATCAAATCAGGTCTCGCCAAAACCGGTTTGGCTCAGTGGATAGAGCGTCGGCTTGGGGACTGGAGGACCCGGGTTCGATTCCGGTCAAGGGCATGTACCTTGGTTGCGGGCATATCCCCGGTGGGGGATGTGCAAGAGGCAGCTGGTCGATGACTCTCTCTCATCAATGTTTCTAACTCTCTATCTCTCTCCCTTCCTCTCTGTACAAAATCAAATAAAATATATTAAAAACAAAAAAAATCAGGTCTCTATGAGAGACAGCCTACCAGTGTAAACCTACTATATACATAATTCTCTGGAAAAAAACCAAACAAACTAAAAACAAATCTCTGCTAGTACCAATTAATTTTCTATTTCTTTATCGCTTCCTGTATTAGAAAAATTTTCTTTTTTGTGTTTTTATGTTATCTGAGATGTACTCCTATGGTCATATTTCTAAATAGCTCTTTCTACAAATCAAAGTTCAGTTTTGATTTTAAAACATAAAGCTTGCCTGATATTCACCATACTCACAGAGTAGCAAACTCTCTTCTGAGTTTTACCTTTTTTTAATTTTTATTTTATTTACTTATTTTTAAATATATATATTTTTATTGATTTCAGAGAGGAAGGAAGAGGTATAGAGAGATAGAAACATCAATGATAAGAGAGGATCATTGATTGGCTGCTTCTTGTTTGCCCCTATTTGGGAACAAGTCCACAATCCAGGCACATGCCCTCGGCCAGAATCAAATCTGGGACTCCTCAGTCCCCAGGCTGATGCTCTATCCACTGGCTAGGGCTTACCTTTAAAAAAAATTTTTTTTTAAAAATCCGTTTTTACTGATTTTAGATAGAGGGAGTGGGAGAGAGAGAGATGGAAACATCTATGTGATCAGCTGCCTCCTGCACACCCCTACTGGGCATCAAGCCCAAAACCCGGGCATATGCCATGACCAGGAATCGAACCATGATCTGGTTCATGGGTTGATGGGCAACCATTGAGCTATACCAGCCGGGCTAAGTTTTAACTCTTGAGATTATGAAATTTTATTATGAATACTTGTTCCAGGTTCCTCCTGTTCTGTGCCTTGTTTTGTAAGGTATGGACAGTATCTGAAATATTATCTAAGCCAGTGGTCGGCAAATTCATTAGTCAACAGAGCCAAATATCAGTAGTACAATGATTGAAATTTCTTTTGAGAGCCAAATTTTTTAAACTTAAACTTCTAACGCCACTTCTTCAAAATATCCAGGCCGTGGTATTTTGTGGAAGAGCCACACTCAAGGGGCCAAAGAGCCAAGTTTGCCGACCACGAAGCTAAGCTAATGCTCTGTTCTTCAACGGCCAAGTCATTTGAACTGTCAGCAGTTATCAGAATGTACTAGTTATGCGTTCTCTCATTCTTTATACCTTCTCTCACCTCTTATATTAAGGAGTTATTAAGTCATCCATCCTTTCTTTATAATGTAAGGGGAGAGAAGAAGTATCAGAAAGAAAAATAAGGAGTCTAGTGCCTCAAGCCTATATAATTATTCCCCAAGTAATCATGAGATTTCTATACTAACATACCCCCTCTTTGTTTATTGTTCTTTACAAAAATACTTGCATTAGGGAATCTCCTGAGAACAAGGTACTTCTATGTAATTGTAGGGCTTCCTAAGTTGATAGATTTAAGCCAGATGTCTCAGACCATAGTAAGAAAAATAATCATAGAAATAGCATTTCAGTAGCATTTACTATGTGCCAGGTACTGGTTCTAAACACTTTACGTGTATTGTCACCAGACAGGACCTGAGCCTGGAGTGGGTCTGCCTCAGGCTGGTCTGCAGTGTGTGGGTTCTTGACTTTGTGCAGGAAAGATTTCATAATACGAGTCCAAGTGATTTTGAGAGTTTGTATATCAAAGCTGGGGATTGTGAAACAAAGGAAGGGCTTAGGGTGGAAGAAGCAGCAGGAGAGAGCCTAGGTGGTGCTCGGCTTTGGCTCCCAAGAAACAAGGGAAAGAAGTGAGCTAGCACAGGGCTTCTGTTAGCTCACTGGGAGGTGAAGGTCATGGTGATAGAAGTGAGGCAGAGCAGAGCTGTTGTTAACTCACTGGAAAGTTAGAGAAAATGGGACCTTGGGATAGGATCGGGGGGGGGGGGGGGGGGGGGGGAGGTAAGCCCAGGATGAGCTGTCGCTGCCAACCGCTTCCCTGGTTGCAAGTCTTGTGTGGACCCTTAGATTTTAAGAAGAAGTGAAAAGTCTATTCCAGCCCTAATCCATTTGACTCAGTGGATAGATCATCGGCCTTCGGACTCAAGGATCCCAGGTTCGATTCCAGTCAAGGGCATGTACCTTGGTTGTGGGCACATCCCCAGTAAGGGGTGTGCAGGAGGCAGCTGATTGATGTTTCTTTCTCATCAGTGTTTCTAACTCTCTCTCCCTCTCCCTTCCTCTCTGTAAAAAAATCAATAAAATATATATATTTTAAAAAGTTCATTCCCAAGAAGAGGCATAGGTGTGCTCTAGAGTGAGCTGGCGCTGGTATTTTTTGTCTTAAGGGTTTATCTCTCTTGTGCTTGTGAGGACCTTAGGGAAGGGTTTCATCAGAATATTCATCAGCCTTCCAGGTGTGATTTTAATATGCTGATCATCAAAATGAGTGTATAGGGGAGTTTGGGATTATTCTTTGGTCTACTTTACTGTTTTACTTTTTAAAAATTTTTTTTATTATTTTTTAAATAAATATATTTTATTGACTTTTTACAGAGAGGAAGAGAGAGGGATAGAGAGTTAGAATCATCGATGAGAGAGAATCATCCATCAGCTGCCTCCTGCACAGCCCACACTGGGGATGTGCCCACAACCAAGGTACATGCCCTTGACCGGAATCGAACCCAGAACCCTTCAGTCCACAGGCCGACACTCCATCCACTGAGCCAAACCAGTTTCGGCTACTGTTTTACTTTTATCTTGGGTCTGTCTGGGTCTATTTGAGGTTTTGTTATTTGTTCCCTGAGTTTATCTGTCCTTGGGTTTGGCTGGCACAAATGGCATTAATTGGGTCTCTGTCCTCTATCTCCCTCTCCAGCGTGATTCCAGCTCTTTATTCTCTGGTAGGGAGGAGAGCTATAAACCATTTGCTCTCAAGTGCCCGTGGTTAAGGAAGATAAGGCCTTGCGATTCACTAGCTGTCTGTATGTTGTCTACATTGTTTGGCCTTGTTTAATTACCATGTCTCAGTTTCTCCATTCCACTTGCCCAGGAATTTTCCTAGCTTCTTACTATCCTGCCTTAGTATTAACTCATCTGCTTCTCGCAATAATCCAGTGAAATATGTGCAGTTATCATATTAATGCTAAGGCACGGAGAAGTCACTTACCCACTGTCATGAAGGGAGTAAATGTCAGAGTTAGGGTTTAAATCTAGGCAGTCTGCCTCCAGAGTCTGTGATCTGTGTCTTCCTGGGAGAGTAAACATAATTCTAATTAGTGCTGAGATCTATAGTTTTCCTGTTACAGTAGCTTTAGTTCCTTTTGTTTTTCCTCTTACTGACCATTATCTGTGGTTGATGGTGTCCTGCTTTTAAATCCTTTCTCTTTGAACACAGAAAAGGTCTGATAGATGGCACACTTAGATTTGTTTCTCAAGTCATTTAATAAATAGCCGTGGATTTTATTTTATTTATTTATTTATTTATTTTACATTTTTTTTAATAGCCATGGGTTTAATTTAAATCCTCTTACTATCTGTGGACTATAGGCCTCCATAAATCACTCCTTATTTCCTGCCTCCTCCCCAAAAGGTGCCAGACTGGGCCCCACTTGGCAGGGTAATTATCTGAAACTTAGTTAAGCTCAGTATTTTCTTAGCCAGACCTTTGCATTTTTGTCATTTTTTTCCCCTCTGAATTGGAAATGAAAATGTTTTCTCTCCTTGTTTAAAAGAATTTCAGGCATCAGCATTAATAGACTTAATGTCAGAAGATGTGATTTGGGGGGACAGGAGGGAGGAAACGATAGGCCTATTTATTAAAGGCAAACTTTACTTCGTTTTTTTAGGGTGTTTGAGGGCCTCTTAGTCAGAAGAGTGTATTCCTGTGGGCACTGCCCTGTTGCTCAGCCCAGTCTACTTCCTGCTGTAGTTTCTGCCATGCTTAGAGCTGCTGAAGCCAAAGAAACCACTTACAGCCTGGCTCTACAGTCCAGTTTCATTTGGTGCCCAGGTCTGCTAGCAATCCCCTCCTTCCAGGCCTCTCCCCGATTTCCTGTCTGAGCA